TATTTACTAAGCGGTTACCAAATGTAAAAAGAATCACTGCTTTTAAAAATAATGGTCTCTAGATAACAACAGCAACAATAATAATAGTGCTTGGCTTAATTTATCATAAATCTATCCACATTTACTTCACTGCCCCTTATGAAGAAAGAGTATACCAATACATCTGACTGCAATGCCACACTAGACAAAAGAATCAGAGAATGCCAAGGCAGCTTTTCTGACCTCAGCCTATAGGAGGGAATTTACTGATGACTGTGCATGCCAGTAATTAAACCTTATGTCTAGAAGAGTCAAGGCAAGTAAAAAATATGCTTGGTTTTAAGAAGTGCTGCTGTTGAGAAAAGAATTATCTTTTTTCTTGCATCAAGAGTTGAATGGGGACAACAACACAAAGAGTTGGTTTTTTTTTTTCAATTACTCTACCTAATATAGGATAGACATCTCAGAAATTGGCTGAAACCCTTTTATAGGACAGAATAACTGCAAAGAAAAAGAACATCTGCGTCTTTTCCATCTATATCAGCTCAAATATAAAATCAATTTTCTTTGGCCAAGCTCACATCCCCTGTGTTTGCTTTCCTGAGAACTTGCATAATGAAGTTTTATTAGCCCCAGTGTTCACACAGAGACCAATTTAGGCCTTCACACTTAAGTGTATCAGAAGTGGTATATTTTATCAGGGAAAGAATAAACTGGGACAAAGTACTGGTTGAGGGCAGGGTTCCCTTAAATCCTTGGTCTACTTCCTATTCCAAGGAACTCAGTGAGCTGAGCAAAACCCTTTCTAGCCAGGGCCAGTCATGAACACACATGCTGCTATTTCCATGTGAACACAAAATTCCGCTCTGGACCTTTCTAAAAAACCTGAAAGGAATTGTTTTTTTTTTTTATTTCTAACAACACCAGCTTGAGCTGTCTGTGACCTAAAAAGAGAACTGAATGTTTTGCTTTTGTCTTTTTTGTCCCCTTCCCAAAGTGCCTCATTCTGCTGGTCTACTCCTGTGCTCTGGTACTACCACCTTTCCCCAATGTCTGAGCACTGCAAGCATCCCCACACCTTTTTTCTGATCACTGAAACTAATTTTAGCAAGGCACCTGACAGCTGAGTAGCCAAAACTAAGTTAGCTCAATGCTTACTTTATGGAAACAACAGATGGACATCAGCAGACTGGGGGATGCCTGATATCCCCCAAGGATAACTGATGTTCTGAATTGAAATTTTATACCTCTTCATTGCTACATAAATTAATTGACTTAAATTTATGAAGTTTTAAAGACATAACTCACAAGTTTTTTTTTTTTTTTTTTTTTTTCTGGATCATTTTTTAATTGAAGGCCATCATACCTGAACCTTTATTTGTTTTGTTCTACATTTACAGAACTTTTCTTCATGGTTCCCTTCCATGGATACAATAAAATTTGGGTATTTGGTAACCAGCACGAAGAAACTGAAATCTTAAAAATGGAGCTGTATTCATCATACAGGAAACTAACTTTTAGAAAACTGTCCTAGAATCACCGGAGAATTTTAATTTCTGCCTATTGTTTATATACTAGACAGCTCAATGCCAAATCTTCTCTAAATCACAATCTGAAAGTCCCTCATAGATGTAGAATTTGCTGAATTTAAATTATGTGAATCCTGACCAAAAGCACAGTTTGACTAGAGTTCAAATAAGTTAAAGTTAGATGGGAGATTTATCATCATAAACAGAATAAATCTGCCAATATCTGTCTAAGTCAAATGAGGACACAACTAAATAAAATCAACTTTTCAAAGTATCAGTTTTTGAGATTAAACTTGAAATTTACCTTGTAAGAAATATTAAATCAGAGAACAGGGAAAACAATAACCTGTCAGTTTTATGATATTAATCTTGAAGAAATACGTGAGGGTCATTAAGGAAAGAAGATGGTTGATGCCCATGCAATAATACCCCCTCCAAGAGTTACATAAATGTCTTTGTAACTGGTGATAAAGAACAATCCTGATCTTTGCTGACCTCTGGTTTGGTTACAGATTTGTATTTGTCACAAGCATCACATGATGCGTGCACTAAATGTATTCCTTAACAATGAAAAAAGTAAGATACATAAAGACTCAGGTAAGAATATTAAAATGATTAAAATGATTAAATGAATGAGAATGAGGGAAAAGCAGGCCCCCATTCTCATTCCTGTGAAGGAACAGCATCCTGATAATTTGAAAGGGCACTGAGGATCAAGGAAAATTAACTTTCAGGCATAACGTAAATAAAATATTTGCCTCTGTGTCCTTCTGCTACCTCTGATTCCAGCAAAATACTTCTCCCACAGCAATAAAGAAAATTAGGTTAAGTTTTAAAAATATAGAAGCTCTGTACTGTAGCCAAATTAAACTATTCCAAAATACACTGTATTTGCAACTCATTTAACAGTCAGCAAGTTTGGTCACTGACATTATAATTTGCTAATAATGCTTTTCAGTATTCTTAAGCCAGCCACCCAACTTGTAGTCCAACGATATTTATAACACATGCTGGGATTTTTTAGGTTTTGCTTTGTGGTTTTTTAAGCTGAGAAGTGGTTACCTACTGATAATGTTCCTCCTTCACTACCAAGCAAAAGATGAGGATTTAGCTGATGGCATGGGAAGTTTTCTCCTAAAACCAGTGTAATGGAAACACTGCAGATGTTTCAAAATCCCTCAGTAAGCATGTGTATGAGCATTACACTCCTTCCCTTTTCCCTTTCACCAGTGGAAGATGACCACGGACAGGTTCTGAGAGAAATGCCACATGCTCCTGCTGAGCCAGAACACAGCACCCTCACCCTCTGTATTTCCTAAGTGCATGAAAGAACTGGTGTGTGGGTATCAGAACTGGATTTCCAACCTCTGCTCACAGGCTCTCTGTTATGAGGAGGATGTGACCCCACCACCCTGACAAACATGCATCCAATGCCAGCACAGAAATGTTCTTCTGGGTAGAGGGCCAGATAAAAGTTGGGTGCATCTTTCTGTCAAGATTATACTTTAGTGTTTGAAATCATCAATACCTGTGAGAAAAAGGCTGTTTGATCAGATCACTGACACAGCTGTACCTGAATTTCAAGTTCCTGCTCTAAGACTGAAGGTGTGTAAACAAGGATAAGTCACTCAGCTGTTATATTTTCAGGTAGATCATGACATGAAAAGCACAGATACACTCAAGGAATATTTAAATATCAAATTATACTTCATAAAGTGTCTTGAAGGTGAAGAATTATGCAAATACACTCATTACTATAACAAATAATCTTAGAATAAAGGAAAAGCAAGCCAGCTAGAAGTTATTGACGGAAGAAACATAGAAAAACCCTATTAAACTTGCCTTAACCTTTCACAGAAAAAAGGTAGGAGGATTTAGTTTTCTGTTCCAAGATTTAATTCTAGATCCAATTTTTTTCCTCATTTGTGTTTTGGTTTTGGACACAACGTGAGACCTAACATTCTTCCTGTCAGAGCCTGTAGATAGGCATAATTTTTTTAAAGGGAAAACACACTACCATTAGCACAATAATTTGGTGTATTCTTGGTTTTGTCTGGCCCTTTCAGCACCATTTTTCAAAGCAGGATTGTGAGACCCTTACTGATCACTGAAGTAGGGTTGACATTCATGTATTTTAAATACGTACTGTTACTCTGTTTTCTTGGTCTGATGTTTTACTGATAAACAGTCAGTCTGCACTTTTCAGCAAGCACAACTCAGATCTGTACTACTGTGGTGGTGGTGAGTGAGGGCAGAGAAGAAACCCACTGATTACAGCCGAGGACAGCTGTCTAAGTCTCTCTGCGTACAACCACTGCTTTAATTTCCAGCTACACTGGACTGTGAGCAAATGCCCAGGTTTTGGTAAATGCACTGAGGTCAAATGAGTTCCTTCATACACGTATCTAATTTTTCCTCACTTCCATGTGCTGATGAATCATTTTTTCCCAAAAATGGTCTGGAAAGAGGGAAAACAAACTATGACCTGCAGCACCGAAATTCCCCACTGTGGCAGAAGAACAAGTCCTTTAGTGACATGGACCTACTCCTCTTCTTCAGGCTCAGCACCAAGAGCAGAGAAGAGGGAAAAGCAAAACACTGAGTGCAAGAACAGACTTGTGGCATTGCTGCTGACCACACTGCCAATTAGATAAATCATAACACACTGGAGCGTGTTCTCTGGCAACCCTAAATCACATAGCAACTGCATGAGTACATATTCTCGCAATAGTGGTTCACATGAAATGTGTATTTTCGATGGAAATCTAACTCAGACCCGTGTTACTATCACGGACAGCTGAGTTTGTAGCATTTGTAATGTTAACAGACTATTTTTTGATTAATAGGTTTTCATCACTGTACTATGTATTTATGATTTGCACCTTCACAACCTACTAGACTTCTCAGAACATTTCTGACCAGACTGAATCTGTTTACAGATTTTGACTGTGTTACATATATGTGTACCACTTCACTTCGAAGGACAGAATACCAAATGTACCACTGCCTTTAATTAAATACTGCTTATAATTTTTCCCACCTAGAAAATATATTAGTAATACAGGTATGCATTTGGTTATGTAAATGTCTCAGAAATTTTTATGGAATGTGAAAAGACTAAGCAATTTCAGCACTGTCTGGGTCTCAGAATTTTAAACAAATGATTCTCCTTTGATTGACTCAACATTTTTCCAACTTAATAGTTTCAACTGAAATGATTTTATGTAAATCAATTTTGAGTGGAATAAAGATACTTAAAGTTATTTGATTTTTTTTATACTTTTCCTTATTAGATGTGAAATATTTGAGGCAGAATATTTAGTTGTATAATAATGGCAAACTATGATAATTAATTAATTTTGCTCCACCTATACAAAGAAAGAAAATATTAATTCCTACATTGCAGAACTCCTGAACCTTACTGATATATTTTCTAACTTATTATAGACGATCACATTCTTGGCTATAGATTTAATAAAAAGAAATACTTACTACTGTGCACAGTCAATCAGCTGATATTCGTTTGACCTCTCGAAGCACGCCTTTACACCTTCATCATCCCAGAGCTTTTTTGCATGTTCAAAGAACTCCTGAAAATTGGAAATACAATAAATCAGAGAACACTTCTCAATTTTTTAAATCCCCAGTCTGTGCTGTTCCTTCCCCCAACCTTCACACTTTATGCTTTGCAAAATGATAGATTATACACTTACAGAAGAAAAGCTATAAGCATTTATTAGCAAAGTTGCAATAAAAGATACAAAACATATGACTGCTGAGAGTTTCCAGCACATAATATATAATTAAAACTGTCTTTAAAATTCATGCCAGTCCATATATAAAATTTACTGTAAGTACAAAAGTTACCTAGAAGCATGTTCACTTCATTTTAAACTGAATTTATGCTTCTGTCATGGAAAAGGCATAGAAGTGACGCAAAAAGCCGCTCAGCTTATAAACATTACCTTTCCAGAGAAAGAACCAGCCTGTAACTTTAAAAAGATTGCACAACTTTTCCTGAAAAACACAACTTTCCGCTAATTATGATTTTCTCATGCAATATAATAACGTGATTGCAAGACTTTCAGAGTCTTTGCTCAACACAGCATCCTCCAAAAGCTGCCTGGCACAATGTACTTTTCCTAGCAGCTATCCCAGGCTACCCAATCCAGAAATGTCTGCCAGCAAGCTTAATTCAGAATTATTTGAAAGAGGCACAAAGCTGTCCTTTGTGCCAGTGAAGCCACAGCACACATGGACAGAGAGGTAGGCTCCTTCTTTTCTCCAGCCCCAGCTCTAGAGACTCAAGGATCCAGCCTGTTTTAAAGCTGGGAGTCCATTTTATGCTTTATCATAACTGGTAAATGACACTGTAATGGAGTTTTTCCAGCTACATCGTTCTAAATTCAAATGAAGGATGTTTAGATGAATTAGTATTTCCTTTATTATATGGCTCTTTCCTCCCTTGAACAAAATTGTTAAAGCAATACATCAACTCAAACACAGACGTTGTTTTCTTAACACCTCAACACTGCTAATAAATCAGCAGTCCTTTGGTTAGTCACAAATTTGTGAAACCTAACAAATTGCTTTTCTACAGTTCAATTTGGCTCTGTGTAAAATGGGTGTAATACCACTATTCACTTCATGATCCTGTCAAAATTTTGCATAAACATCTAAATTCTGAAACTTTTCTGAAATTGCTTGCCTGTCTCTCCCCACATCTTTTCAGGACGTAAAACCTTTTGCCTTTTTTTCCCCCCAACTATACCATGAACAATATATATAGAGAGAAAATTCCATTATTTAAGAAGTTTTGAAAATGTTAGAGAAAAGAAGATATTAAAGCAGGCATGAGAAACCTTTGCAGAAAGTCTTGGATGAAGAGAGGAAGCAACACTATATATAGACAGATATACTGCCCTTGAAATTTATTTCTCCAGTTGGTGAGGACATGTTTATTTAGTCTTTGTTATTTTAATTACTTATGTAATTATTGTTTTAAACACTGCAGATCCACCTTTTGAAGTGATTATAAACTCTCTGTTCCTACAGCAGGAAAAAAGCAAAAACAAGCTGAAGAAAGGACAAGATATCAAACTAAAGTAGAAGGAGAAAGCGGACACACATAACAGAGAAAACGACTACAACAACGGGAGAACTCAAAATGATAAATACCAGAAACCATGGAACATTCCTCAAATATGAAGCTTATGCTTGATTGATACCTGGGGCATCAGCTGAATGCCTCCCACTTGCTGGCATTTTTGGCCAAAGAAAAGCACTGCCTTATCAGTGGATGGAGCGAACTGTGGGTAAGTGTCAGGTCCTGAGGCAGAAGGAGTCAGCTCTCCATCCTCTCAGATGGGAGCAGGGTCCAACTCAGCCCTTCCTCCCACAGGCACTCACTGCTACAGGTGTGGGGTCTGAGCACAGTGTGGCTGCCTTCCCCTCCTCCCCATCCGGGGGTGAGAATTCCCACCCACCCCAAAAGCCATCTCTAAGGGGAATAAACTCTGTGGGGCTGAATGGATGTAAAACCCACTCCCATTCAGCCCCACAGAGCTTACAGGAAGGGGAGGGGATGAGGAGGAGGTCAGTGTAAAGGTATCTTTTTCTGAAGGATAGCATGGATTAAGAGATCAGCTGAAAATATATGAAGTAAATAAGCAAACAAATAAAGTTGCATAGCTATAGTAGTTCCTCACTACTGCCTTTACATCCTCTGTATGAGCTTTATTTACTCTTAAAAATCTCTTCTGAAAAAGAGGCAATCATTTCAGCTCAGCTTCTTGAGAACCTACAAATATTTTGTAAATACGGGATTTCCATATCATATGCTTAAAATATTTCCACCTGACCATTATGTCTCAAAGCAGTCTATTTAAAATGACTTCCAGACTTCTAGTCCTAAGCAAATCATATAAAACAGAGCAAATATACTTCCCTCATTAAAATGTACCAATCTACTGCAGAGGAGTACACTTGATTGCAAATTGCCTCCCACACAGCTAGCTACTCGATCCTTCCTTCCCAGGTGACTAAAGCCTTCCAGAAAAATCCTGTTTCATTTCAAGGTGCCAAGCACCATGATCCAACTTTCACACTTGTTTTTAACCCTTCTATTGTCTGCTGTAAGTTCCTCAGTATTTTTTGTGCTCATTTGCACAAAGCCCCCCATTGCAAGCACAGAGGAGGATTCTGCACATGGCAAACGTATCTGGATGCCAGCCCCCTCTCCATCCCAGGACAACATCCAGACAGCAGTTACCATGTCAGCTGCAACCCCTGCAATCAAGCTCCTTTTGCCTGACCAGCCTTCCAACAATCACTCTGCTCCCCTCAATCCTTACAACTCATTGCTATGAATCCCAATGCTTGTCACTCCTTCCCTCCCACCACGGCCACATTGTGGCCACCTCAATGGCAAGCAGGCCCTGCTGTGGCCTTTGGACTCTGCCTGCCCTGCAGCACCTGCTCTGGGGCTGCACTGTCCTTGGGGTGGCAGCTGCAATTGGCAATTCCTGTCATGAAGAAGAGACAGGATAATTCAAAGAACACAGAATTCAGCTTTGCTCCAGCTGGTAAGGGGACTAAAACATTTTAAAATGTTACCTTAGGTCAGGAAAACACAAATTAGGTTTTTAAGAGTAAGCTGTGACTGTAGTAGCTTACATTCTGAGTTGGTCAAAATAAGACTTTCTTAAAGCTGTGACTCCTTAAAGCCACTGTGGCTTTGCTGAAAAGCAAAGTGGCTTTTCAGTTCTCAGAAGTCACGAGCCAGGTCCTTTAAGAACCTCAGCTAGGACAGAACGAAACAGGGACGTGGTACATCACTCTGGCAATCTGGTGCACTGTGTTTGCAAGCACATGCAGCTGACTTCTATCAGATCAAAGCCACCAAAATCTACCGAAAATATTTAGCATACTGAAGAGAACCAGGAAATAATGTACTGTACTAGAAAGCAGAAAACCACCTATGTCATGACCAAACAGAACAGTTGCTTCAATCAAAATCTTCCTTAGGGATGGAGGCATACAAAGAGTTACACCTATTAATATACATATAAAATAAAGCAATCAATATATTTTTAATTTAGTATTTTAACTAGAGTATTAAAGAAGTAAATGATAATGCTTTAGATCTCATGAGTTACAGGTGCCATGAACTGCAGGTACTCTTTACAATGCACACATTAATTTACACCATTTATATAAGAATTTATAGCGATCACTAGACCATACAAAACCTTGATATGATATTTGGATGTCATCAAAATGAAGATATGACACACATCTCAAATATTTATTAATATAAAACTATTCGGAAATTTTCCACTCTTCCAGAGACAATCCAAAACCTCAGCCCTGCATTCCTGAACCTCCTTCTCACCAGCAGATACGTTTTGCTATAAATAATCATATATCATCCAAAAATCATGAAGAGCCAAAAGCAGGTTAAAAACACCCTGAACTGATATTACTGATCTAAACAATACGCTATTTTTACTGTGTTTTAAAAGGTCTTGTAAAAAGATTTTTACTCACGTAATTCAGGGAAAAATTTCCTGATTCAATGTATTCCCATAAATAGCATTCCAAGAAAATAATACAGGTAACAAATGCAATGTAATACAGCTAAGCCTCAGGGCACTGGTTTTCAGCTTTGTCTTACTAGAAGTTACAGCCTGGTCTAGAAATTCAATTTCCCTTATTTTAAAAATAAACTTATTTATTGGTAGGTTACCTTAGAAACATCCTCCCCCTTGTAACTCCTACAAAAAAAATTAATGTAGCTAAGAATTGGATTTAGTTCACTTTTTAGATACCTAAATTTGGAATAAATACTATTGATGATTAAACAATTACGTATCTTCATGAACAGATCTTTATGTATTTTGGAAAAAAGAACTTTTTATCTAACTGCTTTACAAACCACAAAAGTTCATGTTAGGTCAGGAATACGATTTTTATTCTACTAAGATTCTTTATGCCTTTCTTCCGGATGGAGGATATATTTAATAGCTATCCTGATGTCACCTTCACTCTTCCAGAAAGTGGAATGTAGAAGGCTCCATCCAGAGCCATATTTTCTACTTCTGTTAATATACTGTAAACATGGAAACAACTGCTTAGATCAATGTGAAATCAATCTCCCTCAAGCCAAAATTTATGCTCTTATTCTCCTCTAAGATTCCGGACTGTAAGACAATTTCTCATCTAAAACACAGATTAAACCTGTCTCATTACCTGACAACCACTTAAAGAAGTGGCAAACGTTACACATTTTCATAGTTCTGCCATTGTGGGTGTGAAATGAAGTAATCACTTCTATTCTGAATTTCAGTTACTACTTCTTCTCTCAAGTACTTAACCAAACAAAAAAGTAAATCACACAATGCCTTAAAAATTTCCACCTAACACCTCCCCAACTTCCAAGGACAATTACAGTGCAAGATGATCCAGAGAGTTAATTCACACAGGAAGGGAGGTATGTGCCTCCCTACTGAGCAAGGTACTTGTACCTCCCAATGCATAGTGCAGGGGTAATGTGTATATATATATATATATGTATTTACATACAGGCAGT